ATTATAAAGTATTTAATAAATTCTAATTTACTCTACTCTTGATTAACCGTATTTAAGGTATACTTCTCTTTAATTATATCGATCTTTTTATTAATTTTCTTTAAGATAAGATTAAGTAAATTATATATTATTTCTTCTATTTATCTAGAGATTAGATAGGCTAAGATTACCCTTTTAACTATAGTCTTTTATTTCGCTTTATAAGAGATAGCTTTTAACAGTAATCTACTTTTATATTTTCTAGTATCTATATTTACTTTCTATAGAATACTACTCTTAGTATCTATAAGTAAATAGTATTTAAAATAATCGTTTAAAACAGAATATATATACCTATACTTTTAAGTATTATAAAAGAGCTTTTAATCATCTTCCTTATTCTTTAGATTAGTAAGATAGTTAATATATATATTAATATATTATAGTGTTTATAACGATAGATATATTAGAGTATTATAATAATCTTTTTTTCGCTAACTATCTAAATAGATCTAATTATAGAATTATATTATCTTACTTCTATAAGCTTAAATCGTCTTAGCCGTAAGATATCTTAAAACAGTTTAATCCTTATATATATTATATATTATCTTAAGTTATTCTTTATTATCTCTAAATCTATCGATGGTTCTACTAGTCTTATTAATTATCTTAATACTATTTACTGATATAAGAGTACTAGCTTTAATATTATTATAGGTGGTATATATCTCTCTCTTATTATTTTATATAATTTCTTCTTTAATTAAATCGATATCGATAGGAGGATTAGTCTTATTATCTAAATAAATATCTTTATCGTTATCTATAATTAATAAAATAGGTCTAATAAAATATTCTTTATTAAATATAACTTATTTTTATATTTTTTATTATTATTTATTATTTTATTAATTAATATTTTTCTGTTTTTATTATACCGATCGACCTAGTCGAATTTAAGTATTACTAGGATCACTATAATCGGTAGATAAAATATTTATAATTATAGTATTAGGTATATCAGTAAGGTCTAATGAAATTAGTATTTTTATCTTTCTTTTTACGATATTTTACTGTATATTTAATTATAATAGTATTAACTATATAATTATATAAGTAGCTTAAAATGTAACTTAAGATAGTAGAGGGTGGTAGGGTAAAAATTTCTATATATATATATATTACTTACCTTTTATAAGAAAAGTTCTATTTCAGTAAGAGAAAATTTTAACCCCTTACTTTTTATTATATTATATAAAAAATTTTTCAGGCGTTATCGCGCTTGTTCCCGCTTAAAGAACAAAATAGAAAATTTTATCTAATAAAACGGAATAAGAAAAGTTCCGTCACGGAACTTTTTATGGTACAGTAGGATTCTACCTAAACATACTAAGTTTACTAAAGATCAGGCAGTTCAACAGTAAACGCGTCTATCGGTACGATCGTATTTCACGCTCTCTACAGGGCGTACACGTGCGCGTACGTTACATGGGTTCCGTTTAGGGTAGAATATAATGTATACGGTACGCCTAGCATATATACAGGCGTTACTTACTGTATCATATGAATACTGTATCACGTCTTAACGCTTAATTCGCTATGAAGGCTAACGATCTATAGTTTTAGTGCCTATATTAGCCTAATCATTAAATATAAATACTTAGATATTATATATATATTTTACCTACTTTTCTTTACCTTAATTAATATTATCATACTATTAGAAAACAGCGCCTAAGATAGTAAAATGTAATATAAGCTTATATAAGAAATCATTGTTTAAGTCTTATGCTTATATTCTATTTATATGTTCTAATGGCTGTACGTGACACTTATTTATATCTGTGGCACGTACGACTCACAGCTGTCCCCTGGTCACTCAGTATATGTTAGCTCTTATATCCGAATATATATATATACGATAGATATTTTTAAGAAGTAAGCGTCTTAACTCTAGAGGTTTGATAGTCTAGCGATTAAGTATATAAGTTATATGTTCTATCTACCGATATTTAATTTTTGTAATAAGTAGTAATAATATATTCTAATCTTATAAAGATCACCTTTTTTTTCTTATCTCCGAAATTCTATACTAACCTATCTATTTTCTACTTTCTCAGCCTTTAATTTCGAGAGCGACTTAGTATAGTAGTTAGTATTATTACTTACTTTTTCGTTATCGTTTTAATAACCTTTTATAATATAGTATTCGAATCTTATAAAGACTACCTTTCTTTCCTCTTTTTCTTATCTCTAAGGTTTTCTACTATCCTTATATATAATCTACTTTCTCGGTCTTTAACCTTAAAGATAACTTAGTATAGCGGTTAATAGTATTCTACTCTCTTTTATTATCGTTCTAATACTATATATAACTTTATAGAAAATAATATTCTAATCTTTATAAGAATAATTCTAAAGTTAGATTTTAAAGAGATAAAATAATTTTTATCTCTTAGAGAGGTAGGAGGTTAAAGGATAGAAGATAAAAGATAGTTAATATATAGAGAGATAGGAATAAAGGATACTTTTTATATATTAGATAGATAAAGAAAATATATAATATATAATATCATTTTTATAAAGATATCTTTATCTAAACTTGATTTATTAAGAATAATATCTAAAATACTTATTTATAATATTAATAATAAATAAAAACAATAAATTATTAATATAAAAACTATTTAAAAACTTTAAATAGAAAATAATAATAATATATAGTATAATTAAGATAATAGTTATAAAATTTATATATTTCTTCTTGTTCTTCTTCGTCTTCTTCGAAGCAATTCAGCCGACCAGCGGAGAATTCAAACAAGACAAAATTTATTCATCTAATGCTTTGGCATTTTCCAAAAGAGGCCTTTCTAACGCCAATCATATCTCATCTTGAGTGATTTACTCATCGTTTCATCAATCGAAGGCGGAATTTATGGTTTGAATCGAAACACGGGTAAAGTTATTTGGTCCTTACCACCTAGATCCGAAGCAAATTCTAGCACGAAACGCAGTAATGCAACCCAAAATACGAATACTGTTGGCTTTAGCCCTTTGGTAGGAACATCGTACGGTCCCAAGCAAAGAACATTTTCCGATAAAGTAAACGATTTACCTTCGATCGAGACTGAAGGAGATCAAGCCTCAACCGGATCAAGTCAAATTGATGGCGCTTCCGGTAAAGCATCCTTGGAGGCGCTGCAAGAGCGTGGACTGTATGTCGTGGAACCTGGAAGTGGTCAAGTGTACGTATTGAGTACGTTATCCTCTATATCATTTGATGATCGAATAGATCCATATCACAACAAAAAGACGTCAATGTCTAAATTGCCGCTCACATTACCGCAATTGGTCGAATTGAGTCCGTTCTCCTTTCCGGGTGATGCCTCTCGAGTCTTTGTGGGACATAAAAGTACGTCTTTAGTTGAATTAGACGTTCGTAGTGGAAAGATTGGCGCTGTGTTTGGTGGGTCGCAGAGTAGCGGTGGTGTTTGGTGTTCTTCAAAAGACGATGATGAAAGCAAGGATCAAAATTGTGGCGACGAGAGCGATCGATCCAAAGAGTGGGTATATATAAGCAGAGCCGATGATATTCTCACGGTTCACTTACGCGGTCGACCTGCTTTGTCACAGACGCTTCATTTCAGTACCTTTTCCCCTAATTCTGCCGATCGTGATATCGCAGAGCTCTGGCTTTCGAGAGGATTCTTACCAGATAAACGAACAATGATTGGAATGCCCGAAGAAAGTCCAATCGTGTGCTTTGATTCGTCTCAGCATAGCATGAAGTCAACCGAACAGAACGATCGCGCTTTATGGACCAGTGAACTAGTCGTAACTGTAGCAGGGATCGTTGATGTCGTCTACGCAAATTCTCCATCAAGTTCGAACGATTACCTTCAGCCGTTCTTGTTACCGTATCCGAAGAGCACATTGAATAATATCTTCTCCCGAATAGGTGCAGGGTCGGAATATTCAACTCAAGGGTTAGGAAGAGTCCGTGATCGTAGGAGTCGGTATTGGAAAGGAGCAAAGCAACTTATTTGGGCGTTTCCAACGGCCACCTGTTTGCAATGGGGAGCGATCAATATCCTCTGGTAGCCTTCTCTCCTCGAGCACCTGCAGGCATCGGTGCGAGCGATGATACTCATCACGATGATTTCAGTCATAGATCGTGCTCTGCTTCAGGCTGTTTGCTTGGCTCTTACGATTTGTAGGGGAATGCCTATGATGATCTGGGAGCTGATGAATTGCTTGGCCTTGGTCCGGGTCATGCTCCGCTTTTAGGAATCGAAGATGGCTTTACAAAGAACGGCCAAGAAACCTCTCGAACGAAAAGGCTCGAGAATCACGTCCGAGCAAAAGAGCTGAAGGACGCATCATCTTCATGGTCCTCTCCCACCGTAGTGACCACGCAAATCGCTATCCTCTTCTTCTTTGCAGTTTTTCGTGGATTGTTGTACATCGGAAGTGTGGAATATAGACGACAAAGTGCTGTTGAGGTTAGCCAAATGGTGAAGAATATGGCCTGACAGTCTGTTCCTCATACCCATGTGTCGCCATCCGTTATATCAATTGGCGGAAAAAAGGTAACCTTTGCCGAGACAGCTCCTGACAAGCCGCTTACCAGTGAACAAGATCCCTTTTCAGAATGTTCGAGCTCGGCCATCGATCAAAATGTCATTTCAAACACTACGTTGGGCGAAGCAAGTGTATCCGCCGCAACGAAAAGGCGAAGACACGGAAAGAGAGCCGGCAATGCTTTTGCTCAACGTGAATCCAAAAAAAGTGACAGAGAAGGAAGATGCGGTCGATGTTGAAAAAGATAGCGGAAGTGTGGATGGTAAAGAAAAGTATACCGCCGGTATGGGAAGCTCTGCGCTTCAAGAAGAAGAAGAGAAAACGTCTAAGTTGTCGAAAAGACAATTGCAAACGTTGCTGGCCCTGTCACCTTGGAAGCGGATGGAGGATCGAAAGTTGCTTTAGGCGACGGTTCGATAGGAGTCATCTGTGATCCGATGAATCGATCATTGATCATCTCTGATGAGATCCTGGGATATGGCTCCTCCGGCACGATCGTTTTCAAGGGGAATTTCCAAGGTTGTGCAGTAGCTGTAAAGAGGCTATTGAGAGATTTCGTTGATGTTGCGTCCAAGGAGGTCTCGTTGTTGGAGTCTGCTGACAATCATGCAAACGTAATCCGATACTTTTACAAAGAGGTGACCGATTCATTCTTGTATATCGCCTTGGAATTGTGCCCTGCAAATCTTGCCGAAGTTATTGAGAAGCCAAACGAGAATCAATCTTTGAGCGCCATTCTAAAACCGAAAAAAGCACTCTCGCAAATTGCTTCAGGTTTACAGTACCTTCACTCCCTTTCAATCGTTCATCGTGATATCAAGCCATAAAACATTTTGGTTTCACAAACTTCAAAAGGGGAATTGAAGATGCTCTCGTCAGATTTTGGGCTTTCAAAAAGGCTCGACGGAGTTGCACAAACGAGCTTCAGTCAAACAGTCAACAATCCCGGAGGAGCTTTTGCTGGCGTGCTCCAGAGATCTTGCGTGGTGATGTCAACCTAAATGCAGGTGCTGATACTTGCGATAGTACTTCGTCCTTCACTTCCGTAAGCGATCAAGAAAACGGTGGCGAGTCAAAGCGTTCAGAAGATCGGAAACGATTGACAAGAGCAATCGACATTTTTGCATTAGGGTGCTTGATGTATTACGAATGGCGATCATCCTTTTGGCTCGCGCTTTGAGAGGGAGGTGAACATCTTGCGACGATCGATAGACCTTCAACGTTTGGCATTTGCTCAGGCTCATGTTTGGTCATTACACAGATCAAATGTTGAGCTTCATGTCCCTCTTCTCCCAATCCATCCAAATACCTTGAAGATTTTGTCGCATCCATACTTTTGGGACTCTTATCGTAGGTTATCCTTCTTGCAGGACGCAAGTGATCGATTTGATATTATGGAGCGTGATCCTCCAGTCGCTCCCCTCGTCCTCGTGACACTGGAGGCGAATGCAGTGGACATTGTTGGAAATGATTGGCATCGTCGACTGGATTGACATCGTTGATTGGATTGGCATCGTTGATTGGGTTGGCATCGTTGATTGGATTGACATCGTCGATTGGTTGGCAAGGGATGGAAGACTTGAACAAGAGAAGGAAATACGACCCAAAAAAGCATTGCCGCTCTCTTACGTGCAATTCGAAACAAGAAAGTCACATACACGATTTGCCCCATAATGTGAAGAGACTCATCACAATCGCAGACGGTGGGGAAGTGACGACTAGCATAGAAAGTGGTTATGCAACCTGCGGAATCAGGTATTCTGGCGCCAACGTCACGTCACATCAAGTGCAATTGCTGTCCGATGGCTTCTTGACCTACTTTACTTCAAGAACGTATGGAAGTAGTGGATTCTTGTCCGATTCTGAGATCTGAATCTTCCTTTGTGGTGGCCTTCGAGCCTTTTTCCGATGAGATTTGACGACGGGAAGCAGAAAGACGTTGTCCTGATGTATTTGTATAGAGCAATGCATATTTTGTACCTACTCCTTTTGGACCTTGTATGTGTACGCCTGGATTGTCGAGACGATCTGGTGTGAAAATCTTGTCATATGCGGCCTGGTTGGATAATCGCTCCCATACTACTGCATCTGACGAACGTTGAGTTGGGGAATCCGAAGCGAATTATCGTGAACAATATCGAGATTCGAATCGATCGATTTGACGAGTGAAGGCGTTCCATGTCCATTACTGTATCGAGCTAGCTGTGTGCTGTGAGGGAAAAGAAAGGCAGAGAACTATCTATATAAATTCTCAATAAAGAGAACCCTCCACCATCTGTCGAGCTTGTTGCACGATGTTTCCATGGGCT